TATATATATATATATATATACTTATTGTATCAACTATAGCCATGAGGTTTAAAGCAAGTGCTCTACTATGTTCACTTTCTTATACTTTCTTTCAAAGAATTTCTTTTAACTTTCAGTGATTTCAATCGATCAAGCAATGAGGCTGGGATGTCATTTTCTTATTCACTATTTACTTATATTTTTTTTATTATTGGAACATAGATGTTAAAAAATTATTATTATTATTCTAATTATTATTTTCATTATTTTTTTACCCAAATTAATTTTATTATTGGATTAGTGAAATGGGGAAGGATTCATTTTTTTTTCTTTCAATTATTCTAGAAAATGGTCGCTGCTAATCGATTTTGTCCGTATGTGTTTTGTTAGGGGAGAGGAATAACAGAGTGAATTAAAAAGCATTATATAATCGATTATAGTTTACAACATAAACAATAATGTTTAGTTTTTCATCTCGTTTCTTCGCACTTCCACTTATTATTACAGAGAAGAAAACAGAAACAAAAGTTCGTCGCATTTAATGTAACACATAGTTTAATTGAAGAGTGACCGAAGAGAGTTTTTACATGAACAAAACTTACAGTTGCGTTATGACTATTGAACTTGACACAATCTAATATAGATTAACATTTACATCTCTAAATTCAAGATTGCATGCGGAGAAAAGTTGATGAATAACATTCGAAGAGACTAAAATAATACTTAATAGTTATTTTGAAAATTTTAAATATAAATACAAATAAATATTTTATAAAATATTAAAAAAGGAAAAACAAACAAAATAATTAATAATTAATAACACCACTCGAATAGTGTATCCTTAAATTTGGTAATAAATGTGTTTATTTAAATTAAATTAGCCTAATATTGATAAATAACTTTTTCTCCAATCAAATTCAACTGCATCAAGACTAGATTTGAAATTTCATTGTAGGACTACATTATATTAGTGCCATAATTTGTATCTAGAATGAATTTTAACTTTCAAGTATGTACCACTCAAGCACTAAGGTCATTTACGAAGGCTGATTAGACAAGGACAATTAAACCCTTATAACAATTATCACACAACTTACCTGAATCAACAAATATCTGAAAACCACCTTCTATCATCTCGGATCTACATTGTAATAGATATATTCATTTGATTATAAACTTGTTACAAACAGACATATCTGTTTGATGATAATGATCTTACAAGATATTTTTGCTTATGGCTAAACTCCATTCACTTATAAAAATTAAAAAAGGACACCATTCATCCTCTCCTCGCGCGAGTCATCATAGCGGTAGCATATGAATTAGCACAAAGCAATTTTGTGGGTATTTTTTCTAATTTTGAAGCATAGCACCATATGAAATACCGTTTACAGGCTTCTGATTTAGGAGTGAATATTCTATCATATTCCATCATAAACATATGTAACAAATGGGCCATCATTCATGTCATTTTTTATAATGCCAAAAGTAAAGAATTTACATGCTCTTTGTAGAAATAATCAAGAACTTAAAAGTTTTAGACTCAAAATATTGATATGAATTTAGCATTTAAAATTTTAGACCCGAAAAGACATAAAATACTTGCGGGTTTAAACCTGTTTGTGGTATGAAAATTATTTGCGGGAAGTGATTTTTTTCCAATGATTTTCATTTAATTTATAATTATTATTTATCCAGATTAAAAAAACCCTACAAAATCTGGTACAATTAAGTGAGAGAAAAAACAATTTCATCAGTCGACAAAAAATATTAGCTTAAAATTAAAACATTAACTTTTTAAAACTCTTTCTATGGTTATAATAATAACTTTATGTAATAATCAGTCGACAAAAAAAAAATTTCATCACACATTTCAAATAAGACCCAAGTAAAAGATAACAATAAATCTTATAATGAATGAAAACCAAATATAAAAGTCCAAAAATATTATATCTAACGCTTATTATTGTTATAAATTATGGTTACGAACCACTTCCAGAGTAACACCCGCAAAAATTTAGTAATTTTCTCGTACTACATTAAAACTTGTCAAAAGAATCATACACAAAACAATAAATTTTCAGGATTTTAAGCCCGTCTTAAGCTTTTCGACCAAGGACCATACACATGAACTACCCAATAAATATTCAAAGCCGCATCCGAAATATCCGGAATTAATAGACACATGAACTACTCAGTAAATATTTAAAATAAGAGATAAGAGCACAATATAGATTTAACATTCAAAAACAATACCTGCAGCATAGGAACAATCATAAAACTCACTGCAGCTTACAAAAATGTAACAGTTCTCACAGAAAACACATTATAAAATAGATAAAGCATAAAAACAAAAATAAATGGCGTTGCCACCGTCGATCAAGAACCCAGTTCTGGGAACAAAAGTTCCGAGATGACGGAGCAAACCTGACACAAAAACCGATAAACAAGTTCCCTCCACGAAAAAATGTATTACTACGAACAAGAAACCATTTATTGTAGACATATAAGTTTTTCCTTGATAAACCATCCTGCACGATTCACTTCTTCTTCTGTGCAGCCTTGGTGACCTTAGCTCCAGTTGGGTCCTTCTTCTCCACGTTCTTGATGACTCCCACAGCCACAGTCTGACGCATGTCTCTCACAGCAAAACGACCAAGTGGAGGATACTCAGAGAAGGTTTCAACCACCATAGGCTTGGTGGGAATCATCTTCACATAACCAGCATCTCCATTCTTCAGGAACTTGGGCTCCTTCTCAAGCTCTTTACCAGAACGCCTGTCAATCTTGGTCACAAGTTCGGCAAACTTGACAGCAATGTGGGAGGTGTGGCAATCAAGAACAGGTGCATAGCCATTTCCAATCTGTCCAGGGTGATTCATGATGATAACTTGGGAGGTAAAGTTAGCTGCCTCCTTGGCAGGGTCATCTTTTGAGTTTGAGGCAACAAAACCACGCTTGAGATCCTTGACAGCAACATTCTTAACATTGAACCCCACATTGTCACCGGGAAGGGCCTCAGTGAGTGCTTCATGGTGCATCTCCACAGACTTAACTTCAGTTGTCAGCCCGGTTGGTCCAAAAGTAACCACCATTCCAGGTTTCAAAGTACCAGTTTCAACTCGTCCAACAGGCACAGTTCCAATTCCTCCAATCTTGTAGACATCCTGAAGGGGTAAGCGGAGGGGCTTGTCTGATGGCCTCTTGGGCTCGTTGATCTGATCAAGGGCCTCCAGAAGGGTTGGTCCCTTGTACCAGTCAAGGTTTGTAGACCTCTCAATCATGTTATCTCCCTCAAAACCAGAGATGGGAACAAAAGGAATCTTGTCAGGGTTGTATCCGACCTTCTTCAAGTAGGAGGAAACTTCCTTAACAATTTCATCATACCTTGCCTTAGAATACTTAGGTGTGGTAGCATCCATCTGTTAAAGAGAGACAAAAATGAGTACTTTGATATATTAACTGAAAATAATCAAATATGTAAATGTAAATTTTAAGTGAAGCGAGGTAATGGCTTAACATTTTATTTACCTTGTTACAGCAGCAAATCATCTGCTTCACACCAAGAGTGAAAGCAAGAAGAGCGTGCTCACGAGTCTGTCCATCCTTGGAAATACCGGCCTCAAAACCACCAGTGGTGGAATCAATAATAAGAACAGCACAATCAGCTTGGGATGTACCAGTAATCATGTTCTTAATGAAATCCCTGTGTCCAGGGGCATCAATGACCGTGCAGTAGTACTTGGTGGTCTCAAATTTCCACAGGGCAATATCAATGGTGATTCCTCTTTCACGCTCAGCCTTGAGCTTGTCAAGCACCCACGCGTACTTGAAGGACCTCTTGTTCATCTCAGCAGCTTCCTTCTCAAATCTCTCAATAACACGCTTGTCAATACCTCCAAGCTTGTAGATGAGGTGACCGGTGGTGGTTGACTTCCCAGAGTCGACATGGCCAATGACCACAATGTTAATGTGAACCTTTTCCTTACCCATTATGCCTCAAACTTGAAAGCTAGAAAGATCTGCCATTCAAACACAAAAATCAAACATATAAGAACAAAACGTCACCGCCCCCAAAAAAAAACTTGAGTCTTCAACACTCAAATATAAGAAAAACCATTGACCATACACCAACAACATCACCCAGCTTATACAACGTAGATCAAACAAAGCAGACGCCACATGTTAAAGCAGATAGAGCAAAAACAGTATAAACTTAAAAAAAATACGAGGTATATGATTCGAGAAAAAACAAGTATCACAATATTCAGATGCATGTATGTTTGTCAATAAAACAACGTAAGACCCGTGTACTCGGTGAAAAACAGATCCATATACAGATCTACAGCCACCAATTACAAACAGAGACTTCCGATTCAAATTTCCACGAATTTCACATCATCTGAATTTTCAAATTCTATTTAACAGGCAATTTTATCCGAACCAAGATCAAATTAAACGAACAAAAACAAACAGAAAACTAATAATCCACCATAGCAAAAGAGATAAACTACACCGTATTACCAAGTCTAAGAATCAATAATAAACAATAAGAACAAGAATCAACAATAACCAATAAAAATTGGACAAAAGGAAGAACCTTTGAGAAAGAAGCTGCGCTAAAACCCTAGCCGCGAGAAGAGAAGCAGTGTAGCTGAGAAAAGTGCTTGACTATGTGGGGTTAGAGGGTTTATATACTGCAACTCGTTTATTTGTGTTGACGAAACTACCCTTCCTATACTGCCATATATTTCCGATTTTATCCTTACTCAATGCTTACGTGGCTCCAATTGAAACCCCATTCTCACGCGTATTGCTTGTTGCGTTATCTCCTCTGGCGGCACAACATACAAAGATAGGAATTAGGGTTCAGCTATAATCTAAAGGCGATGCTACCTGTGTAATTTAAATTTGGAAAAAGTACTTTATCATATCTTAAGTTTTAATTTTATTTAAACTAGTTTTTAATTCATAAATAAATATATAAACTTTAATTTAGTTATAATTATTTTTTAAATTTTACTATTTTTTTAAATGGACACATTTAAACTTTATCTTATTTATAAATAAATTGATATTTTTTAAAATTTTATTTAATACACAAGTTAAATATTTATTATATATAATTAAGATTTAAAATAAATTATGTATATAAATAAATATCGTGTTTACATATATAAGTTATAATAAAAATTTGAGTGTATAAATATTTTAAGTATATAAATTATATTTTTTATTTATGATAAATAATTTATATTATAAAAAAATATTTATTAATAATTTATTTAAAAATATTAAAATTTAATTTATATATAATTATGATAAATAAAA